GGAGCAGGAGGAAAAGGAGGAGGACTGTGGCCGCGCCGCGCCTCTGGCCCGTGGGGTCGAACTGCAGGTCGCGCAAAGCGCCAGGCGCGACCGCGCCCGGCGCCGCCATCGGCGCCGCGCGGTGCGCCCCCCAGCGCGCGAGCGCGGCGGCGCCCCGCGCAGGGCAGCGGCGCGAGCGCGGCGCTGGCGCTGGCCAGTGCCTTGGGTGCCGACAGGGGTGCAAACATCCTGGATTCGTGGGCTCCGCCTGCTTAGGTGCACCCCGCCTCAGCCAGTCAAGGCACTTGTAACCCGTGACGGGCCCCGGGGCCATCACGGATCGTCCGGCTCGAAGAACGCCGCAGAAACATGGGGTCGACAATCTTCTCGCGCCGGGCGTTTTTCCGCGCGATCTCGGGCCCAGGGACCGATCGATCCAGCTCGAAAGATGCAGAAGAAACATGGGGTCTAGGATTCCAGTCGTGATTTCTGGCGATGTTGCAAATGGTCCTGCAACGTCGGATCTTAAAGGGATGGCGAGGCTGTCTTGAACCCAACCTAGCACGTCGCGCAGCATGAAGCAACTGGCTCTGGGGAAAGCCCCGAACCAGAACGCTGAGATCCCTTCCTTCACGGCGAATGACTCATCGTCTGAAGCATCCAATCGGCATCTCACCCGTAGACACGCGGACCGCCGCTGAAGCGTCAGGGTCCGACAGGGAGGGGGCATGCACACCGAGGAGCTCCATTTGCGCGCGGGAAAAATGCTCTGGGCAGGGGCTTGGAAGCCCCTCCAAATCCCTCCGAGAGGGCCAAGTGAACCATCCCAAACAGAGCGGGCCAAGGCACACACTCCCCCCTCCTACGCGCCCAAAAACACGATAAGACTGCGTGCGTTCCCACATGACGGTCATACTGGGGGCCATTTGCCTGCAGAGATTCAGTATTGTTGTGCTGTTGTTCGTGCTCAGCGTTTTGGGCTCGTTCCTCCCCGTGTGGGGCCACAAGCGCAGCCAAGAGAGGTCGCTGTCCGACCTTGCTGTGTGAAAGGACAGCTGCATGTATGAGCAGCGAGGCGATTTATATTAGCTGTGCGACTGGTTTGCGATAAATTCCGCCAGCCCTCGAGGCGTGAATGGTTAAGAGCGCTTCCTCTTCCGACCCACTGGGGCGCCCCGCGAACCTTTGGAGCGTCTAGGATTGCCTCGGCGAGAACGTCTTCAATGATTGATCTTATGTAGGTTTTGGGCGTCTTTTGGCCTCCTGGGGGGGGACCCTACTATGGTACACCTCCTTCTTTGATCGATATCCTCAAAGATGGCCCCAAGGCCCCCTAAGGGTGTTCCCAGACGGCCCCAAAAGGGCCTGAAGAAGCGCCCGGGAGGCCCAACAGGCCCAAGAGGTTCCCACGAGGCTCCCAGGAGACCCCCAAGAGGCCCCGAGAGGCTCCCCCGAAGTACCCAACATGCTCCACGAGGCCCCTGGGACCGCCAAGAAGCCCGCAAAACGCCACAATCCATCGGCCCAGTGATAGTTCCTTGGATGTTGCCATGTCGCTCGCTAGCGGAAGCCGACGGAAGTAAAACGAGGCGGAAGACGGCGGAAGGCAGTTGGAAGGCTTGCGGAAGACAGCGAAAGTAAATGACGCCTTGTCCGACCGCCCCTACCCCCCGTAGGAGCCTAACAATGTAGTCTTCTGCCGTGGGCCGGGCGGGATCCCGGTAAGTTTAGTTCAGCCAGGCTAAAATCGCACTCATGAGAAATCCGCCGATCCGGCGTGTGAGTTTCTGAGAGCGTGGGCTTGAGCTCGCTCAAGCCTCGCTCTGCGGGGGGTGACCTCATTTCCGACCTAATTCCGACCTAATTCAGTACTTCGCCCCCCCCCCCCTCCCAGAGCGGACCCCCCCATCCCCTGCAGAACGCCCCCTCCCGCTTCCTGCAGCCCAGCCCCCCCCCCCCCCCCTGCAGAGCGGACCTCGCCCCTGTAGCCCCCCCGCCCCACTGCAGAGCGAACCCCCCCTCCCCCTGCACCACCCCCCCCTGCAGAGCACCCCCCCCCCCTGCAGAGCGGATCCCCCTCTCCTCCCCTCCCCCACCCTCTGCAGAGCAGACCCGCCCTCCTGCAGCCTCCCCTCCTCCCAGAGCGGACAGTCCTCCCCGGCAAAGCGGACCGCCCCCCCCTCCCTGCAGCCCAGCCCCCCCCCCGCTGCAGAGCGGACCTCGCCCCTGTAGCCCCACTGCAGAGCGAACCCCCCCCCCCCCACCACCACCCTCCTGCAGAGCACCCCCCCCCCCTGCAGAGCGGAGTCCTCCCTGCAGCCCCCCCCCCCCCCCTGCAGAGCGGATCCCCCCTCCTCCCCTGCTCCCGCACCCCCTCTGCAGAGCAGACCACGCCCTCCTGCAGCCCCCCCTCCTCCCAGAGCGGACCCCCCCCTGCAGAGCGGACCGCCCCCCCCTCCCTGCAGCCCAGCCCCCCCCGCTGCAGAGCGGACCCGCCCCCCACCCCCCGCAGAGCGGACCCCCCCCCTGCAGAGCGGACCCCGCCCCTGTAGCCTCCAGCAGCGAGCGTGCCCCCCCCCCTCCCCTGCAGAGCACCTCCCTGCAGCCCCCCCCCCCCCTGCAGAGCGGATCCCCCCCTCCTCCCCTGCTCCCCCCCCCTCTGCAGAGCAGACCCGCCCTCCTGCAGCCCCCCCTCCTCCCAGAGCGGACCCCCCCCCCTGGAGAGCGGACCGCCCCCCCCCCCCCTGCAGCCCAGCCCCCCCCCCGCTGCAGAGCGGACCCCGTCCGTGCAGCCTCCCCCCTGCAGAGCGGACGCTCCCCCTCCCCTGCCGCCCCCCCCCTGCAGAGCAGACTTCCTCTCCTGCAGCCCCCCCCCTCCTTCAGAGCGGACCACCCCTCTCCCCTGCAGTCCCTCCCTCTGCCGAGCGGACTCCCCCTGCAGAGCAGACCCCCTCCCCTGCCCTCTCCCCTGCAGCATCATCCTGATCATCATCTTGCGGAGCGCCCCGGATCGGCGGCAATGGCCGGAGGCCACTACGATAGATGATGCGATGCGACCACCGTTGCGGACAACGCTCGGGCCTACTCAAGACCAGGTGGGCGAGGCCGTGGCCTCGGGAATCTGGCGTGTCTGAACAACATGCAATGCGAGACACATTGGCAAAACAATTCGGAGGAGGGACGGGGTGGAGATGGTCCTTGGGGTCGGTCGTGTCAGCCTGTGTGGGAAGAAAGGAAGGGGGAGAGGAGGAAGTCATTGGTGTCGGTATCGGCGTGGGATGTCTCGCTGGGCGTTCGCGTCATTGGCTTAGGTTCTAGGTGTCTGCTGGTGTGGGGTCGACGTAGCGGTGCTCGAGCGACGTCCATGTTTCGGTGTCCTGTGCTGAATCCGTGGAATGCTCTTTGAATCTATTTTAATCGTGTAAACAAGTCTCCCGTGTCGTCCACGGATCCCGCAATGCTGGGATCGTTTCGAAGTAAGATGGGGCTCCGAAGTTGCAGCGTTCCTCGCATGTCAGGGTCGTCTTGAGATCATCTTGGGCTCATTTATCGGTCATGCTTGGATCGCACAGCCGTCGCGTGTTCATTATGGGGCCGCCATGGGCGCGCGTGGATCCATCTTGTTGTCATCGGGCCATCTCGGCATCACTCGTGGTTCATGTGTTCGGTCATCTTCGAGTCGGCCTCGGACGGTCCAGAATCCATGGCGGGATCGTGTTGGGGTGGCGTCATCCCAGGGTCGTCTGGAAGTGAACCGTTTTGTGGCCATGGGGGCCCTCTTGGAACCATTTCGTGGCCATGGGGGCGTCTTGGGATCTCGCGCGCGCGAGCGCGGAGCAGGCGCGCGCGACAACTCATGTCGCCGATGGGCGTGCACACATATACTTCTTGTTGCCAGTTTCCAAGAAACCTTTCGTTGCAGCCAAATAGGACACCAAGAAACTCTCAAGAGATATCCGAAGAGACTCCGAGAAACATCCAAGAGGCCTCTGGCCTTTCTGTTCGCCCTCCTCCTCCCCCTCCTCCTCCTCATCCGATTGTTCCTCCTCCTCCCTCCTCCCTCCCCCTCCCCCTCCGATGCCTCCCTCCCCCTCTTGAAGCACGGCGGCTTTCCCAACCCTTTGTTCCACTGCATGCTCCTCCACATCCCTGATCAAACCAACTCGCCTGGGCATCGTTTTGGATGGGCTGTCGGGTTCCGCGAAGCATTTAGAACATGTGCGTTTTCTCTGCGTCTAATGCCGCGAATGGCAACGATTCCCCTAACCATGCTTGCGTTTAGGCTGTCTTGCTTCCATTCTAAGGGACTGGGCCTGTCTGCAGGCCAAGCGGACCCCGTTCCCCCCCCCGCCGCCGCACCACATAGTGTTACACCACAGCTCACACTACGCAGATTGCACCACACAGCTCGCACCACATAGTTTGCACCACGGACGTTCCCCAACATAGGGTGCACCGCATAGCTTGCACACCCTAACATGCACCACATAGGCTGCACAACCTAGCTTGCACCACACATGTTGCACCACCTAGATTAAACCGAATAAATCAACCCAAATAGCTTGCACCGCGTCGACTGCACTACATCGAGTGCCCCCCCCATAGTTTACACCACATAGCTTGGACCACGCAGCTTGCACCACGCAAACGGCACCACGTAGATTGCATCACATAGCTTGCACCGCATAGCGTGCGTGGATCCCATAGCTTGCACCACATACCTGACACCACGTGGTTGGTTGCACCACAAAGCTTCCGCATCCAGAGTGTCATAAGTTACTGGGTTGGGTCCACGCTGACCAGCATTCTAGCTTGAACCTGTATCATTACCAATGGGGGTGGTTCGCGCGGAACCTGAAACATACTTCCTGCCACCCCATTAGGGCTCTCTGGTCGGAGAACAAAGCGATCATATACCACGCACGACGCACTCAATCAGAAAGGTAACGAGAGGATGTATAGAGCGCTTGTGCACGGGATCGCTGGACGAAGAGACAGCAAACAACACACGACGAGAATGATCTCTGTTCCACGGTGCGAGAACGCGTTATTGCTCAAGGTCCTCTGACACGAACTGCAAGTGCGACGGAATGCGACGGCGGACCAGATCCATGGCGTGGGCCATTGCGCGCATGACGTCCAAAGTCAGGTGGGGCGCTCCTGGGCCCCGAAAGCCAGAGACTAGCGCATCCCGCACGACGAGCGCCTGCACGCCGAGGCCTGCATGGACTCCGACGGGGGCTCCAGGCTCGTGCGCGGGCAGGTCACTGAAGGGCGCGCCTGTTCCATACGGAAACTTGTGCAGCTGCCCGTTCAAGGCCACGTCCTCGAGCCGAGGCAGTGTAAACTCGAGCGAGCCGCTCTCGCCTGCAACGACGCTCCTGCGCGCCTCGTCCGCCGCGCGGTGTGTCAGGACCGCGACGGCCCCACACATCCGAATAGTCACGGTTGTGTCCCAATCAACCTCACCGTCCGGGCTCGGGGTGGACACGACCTCTATATCCTCCGAGCTCAGGGAAGCAACGGCCGAGGCGCCGAAGATTACACACAGCATGTGCACCGTGTAGGACCCGCAGCCATCAAACAGCCCACCTCCGAGCTCGCGCACGTTGATGATCGGGCTGCCCTCCATGATCTTCAGTCGTATCTTTTTGTGCAACTCCACGCGATGGATCTTGCCAATGGTGGAGGTGGAAGAAAAAACGACTGCACTCACACAAACATCTGGACCTCCGCGCAGATGTCCTGGATCGACGCCGGAATCCCCTGCCCGGCGCGCAGAGAGCGCGCCAGGAGCGACGCCGCCGGCGCCGCTAGAGGGGCACAGCGCAGACTCAAGACATTCACGAGGACCTCCGAAAGTTTATGGTCATGCATTGTTTTGTTCTTCGAGTCAAGGTGCTCCTGGATGAACGTGGTAGCAGGCAAGCAAGCGGAAAACGTCCCGTCGATCAGCAAGAGGTTCTGACGGATCGCCTCCGCGAATATCAGCTCGGCATCAGCGGCGCTGAGAGTAAGCGGCTTCTCGCAAAGCACAGGCTTCCCTGCCCTCAGAGCCAGCAAACACTGCTGGAAGAAGAAATAACCACATAACCATCAGAAGGCGGGGGTCGAACGGTACACTGTCCCTGGGTGCGTGACTGAATTGATGTTCCGCGGTGCCGATTCTTGTTGTACTGTTGATGTCGTCGTCGTCGCCCCAACCGCGACCCGCCCACGACCCATCCATGACACGCCCGCTACCTTCCCCAGACCCACACACAGCCTTCCCGCGACGCACCGGCGACCCACCCACCCGACCCACGCCCGCGACCCACGCTCTCGACTCGCCTGCGGCCGGCGGGTCGTGTGTGACAAGTAAACGTCAGCGCCTGTGGCGGGCTTGTCCACAGCTGGTTTCGAGACCCACGATCCGCCGACGCCCCCTCCCTCCCGCGACAGACCCACAATGATTTTCAGAACAAACCGGTCTTGTCCGAGACTGCGGGGGTTGGGTAGACTTTCCGAAGTCCGCAGGGTGTTCTTCGATCGGCGCCAGACCCCCCTCCCTCGCGAGCGGAGCATGCCAAGGGCGGCACGGGAGGCGCCGCAAGAGAGGTCCAGTGCCGATCCAAGAAATCCGCGTGGACCTCCGAACGCTTATGTGTACGTCGTTTTGCTCTTCTTCGACATGAGCTGCATGGGCGCTGCTCGCACTCGCCACATAGACGATGTCCACAGACGGGTCAGCCAGCATGTCCTCCAAAGATAGCGCGCGATTGTAGCCGAACTCTGCACGCTTGACGTCCACCTCTTCGATCGGCCTACCACTTCCTGATGAGATCGCCTCCAGGGCCATGAACGGCAACCTTAGAGGACACAGAACTATACACATGCAGCGACCCTGTCCATGCCCCCCTGGGCCCAAGATCGGTGCAGGAACCCTCCTGGCCGGGCAAGGGGGGCATACGCACCGATCCAGGGCTCAGGACGGGTGCGGCCAGGATCGGTGCTTGTGCATAGCTCTCTTCGCGCGAAAACCTAGTGAGCTGCTGCGCCATGGCCATCGCAATATTGCCCGTTCCAATGCATCCCCAGCGCAGCTCCGAAGTTGCCGACATCGCTTCGCGGAGGTAGCACGGAAGAAACACCACGTTATAAACATACAAAAGTGCTGGAGGTCTTTGTAGATTCCTTGGGTCCGCGGTGGACTTCCCTCCCTGGCCCGCGAAGCGCGCCAGTGGCGGGGGCCTAGCGCCCAACCCAAGAGATCTGCGCAGCCCTTCCGAAAGTGTATGCCTATGTGGTGTTGTGATAGTCGAGGGCCGTAGCATCGCTATCGATCTTGCTCAAAAACATCGGCATGAATACTCCCCAGCACGCTTCCACATCACTTTCTGGACCTTCTGGAAGCAAACCCAGTCTTTGGAACGCAGTAGCGATGGCCTTACAAACGTTGATGCAAACGTCTTGAAATGTTATCGGAAACGCACGTATCGCTCAAGCCGACACCAAGCAGTGCGGCCAACGGAGACATCTCGGAGCAAGAAGATTCTGCTAACGCGAGTCCGTTCCAAGTCACACACACACACACACGTTCAACGCAGACAATTGTGGTTTTGTTTACCTTGTGATTCTTCCCCTGAGCTCCGACGTCGCGAGCAAACGCATCGTCGTGACGACCGGGCCCTGGCACCACACTCCTCGAGCCGTACCGGTCTGTGAGGGCCACCGGGCTCCCGAGACCGAGCGAGAACAACCGGTGTGAAACAAATGCGACATCAAAATCACAGTGTCTTCGTGGGGGAAGGGGGACGGGAGGGGGGAGGAGGCAGGAGAGGCGGGAGGGGAGGAGGAGGGTAATGGGCAGAGGGGGAGTGGACCGGAGGGGGGCGGGGGAAGGAGGAGGAGGAGGCCGATCAGGAGACTTTCTTCCAGTGAGGAAGGTCGCGAGGGCGGCCACCATCGAGGATGGCACCAAGTGAGGAAAGCAAGTCATCTTCGAGTTCTGGTCCGACGGGTTCCCTGGCGGGAGGTTCCGAGGCGAACGTGGAGAGCTGCGGCCCGAGGGCAACTGCAGCGACGGCCACTAGGGTGCCGAAGCTACCCAGCGTGGAGGAGGAGGAGAGGCAGGTGCTCACCCACATCCCCTACGCGGCGTGGTGTGAGCGCTGCGAGACAAGGCGAGGTCAGGAAGATCCACATCGACGGTGACGCCAAGTGGAGACAGAGCAGCCTCCACACTCCGTCCTGGCCATGGGCTGCTGCTTGACGGGTCTGGAGGAGAAGGACACCTACACGGGGGCGGCCCAGGTCGAGTCATCGCCAAAGGCCCATCCAACTACTCGATCGCATTCCTCGCAACCTGCCTCGACAAGCTGGGCTACCCGCGAGTCCCCATCCAGAGTGACAACGCGCTAAGGAACTCATGAAGAAGAGAGGTAAGGCCAGTAATGACATCCAGACGCGGATCACTATGAGGCAGACACCGCCAAGATCGCATGCTAGCAGCGGTTTGGCAGAGTACACTGTCAAAACGATTGAAGGGCTCGTGAGGACTTCAGCCTACATTGTGCGCAGACGAAGTACCTGGACACCATCAGTGGCGATTCAACCATCTTGAGATGAAACGTCAGACACGTCGTGCTCTTCCATAACAGGCTCATGTACAAAAAGAACGGTTGCACGGCCGACGAGGATCTGAAGATGGTGCGCTACAACTTACAGCTGCTCAACTTCGTCGAGACAGTGATCGCGAAGAAGTCGGAAGTGGCCGACGCGCGCCTCCGACCTCCTTGGCAGCAAGGTGCCTGGTTCGTAATGACTGCTAGTACGAACGAGCACATCGTGGGCACCGAGACGGGCATCATCAAGCCTAGGACGGTCAAGCGCGGGCCCGAGAAGCTGCAGTGGTTCAATGCGGCGTTCGACAGGATGGTCTACCCTATGTGGTCCCAGAACGACTTGTAGGAGTCAAGGTCCATCGAGGGATGGCTCCAACCGAGGGCTGCCAGGCTTGCGAGGACGACCAAACTCCAGTCAGACGAATGTGTCGCCCCAGGGCGCGCACGACGGCATGCATTGAACGGCATGCAGAGTTCAAGCGGAAACAACTCGGCGGACCGAGTAGTTTGCTTTCTGGCAGCTTCGAGAGCGGCGCCGAGAGCGGCGCCATCTGGAAAAGCAGCAGCAGCGGGTCCAGATCCTCAGCCAGCGAGTTCCACAGCTCAGAAGCACGACCCGCCAGACCGTGGGGAGAGCAGGGAGGAGTGGGCAGGAGCTGGTGGTGCGCCGAGTTCAGCGGCAGCAGCGGCAACCGATCCAGCACCACAGACATCGGCATCGGGAGCAACAAAAGTTCGGAGGCACCAGCGTCCGCGACGAAGCGCAGCTCGGACGTGGCTCCCGAGGTGGAGCACGAGGAACTCGCCATCGCTCAGACGTCCGTTCCCCGTGCGTTGTTCGGTGTCGTGCGAGTAGTGTGAGCAAGATGTCCTCGCCGAGAAAAAATGCACACGCTCGAGCGATGCCAAGGGAAAGCCAGCCAGGACAGCAGGATCGGAGAGATGGCCATCAACATGATATCGAGGAGCTGCAGCCCAACACGAGGAGGCGATCCAGGGAGCAGATCAACAGGCAGATCATCTCGAGCAGGGAGTTCACTAAGGAAGAGATCACCAACAGGCGGCGAACATGGTTCTCGGGATCTCGCGGGGTCGCTGCCGATGGGCCCGCGAGGCAAAAAGACCCAGACACTCAATGTTTTGATTTTTGTCCACGCGGGGACCCCGGGAGTCCCGACACCCCCGGGTTGTTTTCGGATGGTCCCAAGACTCGTGGAGAGCCCCCCCAGAGGCCGAAAACTGAGGAAAAACCGCAGTCCTGATTTTCCCAATGCGTTGGAGGTCTGGGGAGGTGGACACGCTTGTCTCGGCGGCGAGCGAGGGGGGAAAGTGAGAGGGAGAAGTCACTCTCAGAAGGCGGCGGGGCCTCTCAGAAGGCCTCGGGCCTCCTGACGAAGTTTTTCTGTGTTTTCGGGAAAGGCGGGGGACTTCCGAGCCTTCTGAGAAGGCCCGCCAGGAGGAGGAGGAGGAGGAGGAGGAGGAGGAATAAGCGGATGAGGAGGAGGAGGAAGAGGCATAGGAGGAGGAGGAGCAGGAGGCTTGGGAGACCTGGAGGATCTCAGGGATGGCGGGGACGTGTATCCCGTGCCTCTCGCTTCCCCCCTCGCTCGCCGCCGAACCAAGGCCAAGACCAGGCACATGGAGCTGGATCGGCTTGACGAGTTCAGGGCCAAAGTGGACGTGCCGCAGGCGGAGGCTGACGGAACTCAATTGGGTCGACGAGGCTCGCGCGCAGGAGATGATGTCGAGAATACGTGCCAGGCCCTTCACCATGCCCAAGATGCCGAAGGACCTGCTCTACGCCCCGACTCCTGGCGCGTCAACGTTGAGGTACATATTGGCCTTGGGTACCATCAAGGGGCGGAAGGTAATTTTGTTCGACGTATCACGGGCGTTCCTCTATACGCCTATCAGGGAGGTCTTGCTGGAGCCGCCAGCTGAGAACCGCGCCTACTGCATCGAAAACTACGGCGAGGACACAGGGGATGTGATGAGGCAGCTCCAGTGCACCATCTGCGGGTTAAGCGAAGCCGTGGTGGACTTCGACAGCCACTACAGCGACATCAGTGTGACCGAGCTCGGCATGAGGAGGCTCGATTCGGAGCCGAGCGTCCACCTGAGCGGCGACAGCAAGACGATCGTGGCGAGGCACGTGGACGACGGCTGAGTGGCAGGCGAAGGAGACGGACCAGATGGGTTCATTCGAAGTCTCGGGGATCAATTCCTACTGAAGACCTCGCCCGCGATGCGCCCTGGTAGCCAGCAGAACCACCTGGGCCGGATCATCACGATGCTGGATCCAGGCCATGGCTTATACCAGCAGGGTCGCACCGACGTAACCTACTCAAGCTGATATGCGTATGGCTACATGCAGGGTGGTGGCAGCACCTGAACAGAAGAGTAAAACAGCGCAGGATGCGGAGGAGCTGCTTGACACATCGGATGCCCGTCAGACGAGGGCGGGTGTCGGTGGACTCCTGCTCGTGGCAGGCGAGAGGTGCGACATGCAATTCGCTACGAAGCACGAAGCAGGCGAGCCGTTGGACGGGCAAGCCTCCGGTGTGAGACCTGGCGCGTCTCAAGCGGATCTGCAGGCACCTGCGCGGCGCGAAGTGCATGATGAGCTACATCACGCCATAGATTAGCTGAAGATCGTGCTGCGCACGAAGGTCGCCAGCGATTGGGCTGGAGATAAGGAGGCAAGGAATAGTACGCCCGCAAGCAGCATCCGCATGAACGAGATAGCGGTGACGAGCTACAACAGAACCAAGCCGAGTCCTGCTATGCCGCCGGACGAGACAATGGTCTACGGCATTGGCTCGGGAACGTGCAAGGCGTTGTTCATCAAATCGTTTCTGGAGGAGACATTCCTCCAGAGTGCAGTGACCCTCATCATGGAGACGGAATTCGAGCGCCATCTCGAAGCGGTGGGCATCAAGAACCCGGAGGTCAATGACGGCATGATGGGCAGCGTGTCGGTCTGAGTTCCAGCAGCAGCAGGGACCAACATCAAGACTGGTCTCGTCTGTTGCCTGGGAAGGCTGCTTTCGCTCGTGGCAGGAGCGAGTGCCGGCAGTGAGATGATATCCATTGAGACCACCAATATCGAGAACGTGAGCCCGAATGGCGGATACGTGTGCACCGTGGCAGCTGTTTTTGTCAGAATGGTTGTGGTCATGCTAATTTCGGCAAGAGTTAAGGCTGGCTTCGAGTTCGGCAGCTCCAGGTCGACCGCGAACGAGGCAAAGCCAACCAGAGTTGTGACAGGGAAGGGCAGCAGACTCAAGAGCGTGTCCACACCCTGCTCAATGTTCAAGGACTTTCGCGCAGATGACTGTACCTTCCAGGCCGTGATGATGCGATTACTTACTTTCGGCCGAAATGGATCGGAGACCAAGGCTGAACTGGTCTCCCGTCTCCAGGAGTTCGAGCCCTGGTGGCGCTCATACGTTTTGCAGCCCATGGACCCTAGCTCCTTGCGATCCGGGCTCACGGATCGAGCCCCCTCCGAGGGGGTATGCAGATATAAGGTTCTCTGTGCTGTGCAGTGCTGTGGTGTACTAGACGTATGATACAGCTGAGCTTGTTGCGAGTTGACAGATAGAGCAGCCTTCAGCCCTACGAGGCTGGCAGATGAGCTTCTGTATGATAGCAATGCGTGCAGAACGGGTTGTGAGAGAACCTTGACATGCAGAAGCACCGCTGACCATTGTGGCTAAAGCCGATATTGAGAACAGAAAGACATCGACCCTTCGATCCGCTCCAGATACTAAAAAGTTCTAACCCTGAAGCTCAACATGTTGCAAACCCATTGCCTGGGAAGGAGGAGGAGGAGCACGAGAAGGAGGAGGGAATCTGAAGACGAGAAGAGAAATGGCAGATGTCTGATACTCCTCCGGAGGCAATTTTCTGCACAACTTAGGGCGCGCTCGGGGCAAGCATGGGCCGTCTGGGGACCCACGCGAGGCGCAATCGGGAGTTCGTTGGTGGCGTTTGGGCTCCCAGGAGGCCCTCAGAATCGCGGCAGAAGCCATCCTCAAGAGAAAACTGTGAGATGCCAAGAAGCATTGCAAACACATTGGTTTGTGATATGTTGGTGATTATCTGACGCCTCTTTTGCTTCCTCTTGGGGAGTACGTATATTGAAACACTTTGTACCGGCTTGGGGCCGCCTTGGGGTAACCTTAGCCCCAATCAGATTCAAGATGCCCCCGAGAGGGCAGAAGTGCTTCGCCCCACCCCACCCCCACCTGGGGAACGGTTGAAGCTGGCGCCTCACAAACTTCGAATCCATGCGTTAAGCTTCCCAATCATATTCACGAGACACTTTGTTAAGAATCAGCTCTTCTCCATGAGGTTTTCTTTTTGCATGCGCACTGAGCTGCTCCTATCCAAGGAGGAGGCAAGCAGCGTGCTACCTCGAACAACATACATTATAACTGACTGACTGTGCTCCACACATGTCGGACCAGCTGGAGCATTGAGAGCCCTTCATACTGACCAGGGCGACGCACGATGAGACTGGAAAGAGTAACGGACTTGAATGCCCTCCACCTTCTGCGCTTACGTACAAAAATCACCTGAGCTTCACCCCAAAGAGGAGGGAAATAAGATAGAAGAGCACACAATTTTATGAACGTAATTTCTCTGAGGTCCACTCAGACCTCCGAGAAAGTATATGTTTGCAGCTGTTTCTGTTCTTCGAACCTGGGCATCATCCCGAGAAGGCGAGGAAGAAGAGAGGGGAGAGCGGCGTTACGACACATGCACGCCCGAACCAGCATGGCCCGGGACTGCAAAGGCCGGCGTCGTACTGGCAAAAGCAAAAAGCCACGGGGGGAGACCGAAGAAGCTCGGTACTGTAGTGCGGGTCGACCTGCGCCTGACGGGACTCTCTCCGACGTACACCCTGCGAAATGCTTAAGAAATCATGGGTTAAGAAATTCATAGTCTCAGAAATTGAATAAAACCCAGAACTTCTATCAACAAATCTTGGGATGCACATTGAAAAGTTAAGAATAATCGAGACTTTGGCCGAAAACTTAGGTTTTCTTAAGCATCGCCTGAGGTGTAGTGACTTAAAGCACGCACCCGTGCACCAATCCGTCTGGCGGCCTGCTGGGTCTGGGTATTGCTGCGGAAGTGTGCCCCAACAGAGCAAGGATCAACTCTGCCGATGTGAACAACCCCACTGCCCCCGGCGGTAGTCAATGGCGGCCGTGCCATAAGAGCCAGCCGACTGTCGACTATCGGTTGCTCCTTGGCACGCAGCGACCGAATTCTTCTTTGTACATCAGCGCAAAAAAAAGGCTGAAAACACCGCCGCGCTTGCACCGGTTGATGTGTGTCGGGACCTTGCGTGTCTGTGTAGTTCCGAATATTGCACAGCAATATAGGTACAGGGCCAATGATGACTGGGACGGGCTCGGGGGGGGGAACGCTGAGCTTGACTCGGCGGTGCATCGCCGATAGATCGGCGACAGGCCCCCGATCGCGAATCCGCACGTTCCTGGGCGGGGTGGGCTATCGGAACCCTATCAGCGATGCGTGGGCGATTGCGGTTTGATGCAGTCTCCCCTGAACCTATCATCCCATGCCGTCGCCCCTTGGCTTTCGGGCCATGTGGCGGCCATAACTCTCGTGCGGCTGTTCGGGATGATCCGGGCAACCGCGGAACGCTCTCGGCGAGGCGAGGCTGCTGGAGAGCACCCCGAGGCTGGAGAACCGCCGAGAACCGACGAACACGCCCGAAAGCCTTCAGGTAGCTTCGAACCCGGAAACCTCGAGCCTCGAACCCTCCCTGTCAGCCTACCCCTGCAGCGTTGCCCCTGAATGCAATCGCCGTGCTACCATATAAGGAACGCTGAAGAAGGAACGAAGGGGCCTTTGTGGCTACGGAGAACATTGCCCACGACCAGGCCCCCCCGACCTAGACTCAAGGAACGGACCGAAAACCAGAGCCCCTCGTGGGCCCAACGTTATCTTTGAATCGCAGCGTCTTGTTGGTGGTGCGCACAAGGGGGTGGAGGGAGGGGGGAGGGCTTCTTAGAAGGAGGCTGCTTCTTAGAAGGCGCCGGCCTTACATATATAGATAAGGCCTGCGCCTTTTTAGAAGCAGGGGTGCTTCTAAGAAGCCTTCCCCCCTCCCCCTACCCCCCTCTGCGCATGGCCGATCTTGACTGCCGCACAAGTCGGCGGCGAGACCAGGGGGGAAAAGAGCGACGAAAAGAAACGGGCCTTGCGCGAGATGTCATCGCGACCTTGCGCCGCGGCTCGCGCGGGGCGCCAGCGTGGCACACCGCGTGGAGGGAAGGGCGCTCAAGCGATGGCCTGCGCGGGAAGCTTACGTGCGAATGTCGGGGCAGTCGAACCCCCTGCGTCTGTAAGCCTTCTCCGAAGCAGCCCCAGGCGGCTTCTCAGAAGGCGCGAGTGCTCCTGAGAAGCCCCGCCGCCTTTTGAGAAGGCCTGCCCCCTCTCACTCACTCACCAGGTTCGCTGCCGAAAGAGACCCTCGCAAAAGACCCAACCCTCGAAATCCCGGCGCAGGGTGCAACTGGAGGGGAACCAGGAGCATCCAGGCTGGGGGTTCCTGAACTGAGCTGAAAGCAGGATGAGGACAAGTTCGGATGAGGATGCATCAAGGATCTCTGAGAGCCAGAGGGTCTGGGGGACGTATCGGTCGCCGCGGCAATTCCAGAGCTTTCCGAAAGGCATGGAACGATCTATTCTCATGCCGGGCCTGCCCGACACGGGCAAGGGTGGGTTTCTCAACGGCCGCGGTAAGTCACCACGCAGCGCGCGGAGCAAAGAAACCCGAGACACCCTGACGAGCAGCATCTGGTCTGCTCATTCGCGTCTCCGCTGTCGTCCGCCGAACCTGTCGGCGTGTGCGTCGTCGTCGCCGTCGTCGTCGTCGTCACTGCCCTCTCCCTTTCTCTAGGCCCTCCTCCGCCAGCGCGCCGATTCGCCCCTTCCCTGGGCCTTCTTCCTCGATCGCGTCAGCCGAAGGGAAATGGAGACACATCGCACTCGAGTCGAATGGAAGCCCCTTCCATTTGATCCCTTCCCCGCCGTGGGTGGGGGGGGCTGGTCCCGCGGGGTGGGTGGGAGGGGGGTGGGAGGGAGTGGGCGGGGTGTCTCGGGTCAGAACACGCTCCCTCCCCGTTCTATGTTCTAATAATGTTCGGCATCATTCGTCCAAGACGTTCCAGAAGGGCCTCAAACCTTTGAAGATCGCTCCAAGACGGCACACCATGCCTTCGAAAACGCCGAAACCACAAGACGCCCCAAGAGGGCTCCAAGAGGACCCCAAAGAGGCCGCAAGAGGTAAGCATCATATATTTCCAATATATGTTTCCCATGTGTTCATTCTCGTCTTTTCGGGCTTCGAACGCTCCAAGACGCCCCAGGAAGTCTCCAAGATCGCCCCAAGACGGCCCAAGAGGCCCCCAAGACGGCCCAAGAGGCCCCCAAGAGGGCCCCAAAGCGGCCCAAGACGGCCCCCAAGACTTCCCAACAGGGCCTCAGGAGACAGAAGGACACCAACCGACATTTTGCGCCTTCCTCCCGAAGAGGCCCCCAGGAGGCCCCAAGGGGCGCCCAAGAAGAAGAACCCGAGAGGCACCCACGAGGCCCAAGAGAGCCCAAAAAGCACCGCTAAGATGGCCTCAAGATACCAAAGCGTCGTCGTCGTCTCCCTTCAGGGTCTGCGGCACTGGCTGTAAGACCTTCGCAATTCATTACCCTCCCCGGGCGCGTCGCCGCCCGGCAACACCCGGTCATACAGGAGGCACAAGCCGCAACAAGCACAACAAGAGCCCAATCAGCGTCAAACGACGAAGGGTCGAAGGAGGCACTCATGGTGAAACTCGTCGAACCTCTTCGATGGGCGAGTATCGGCTCCTATCGGGAGTCGACTCGCTGGCCCCTGAGCATATCCCCCTACTGTTGCCCCTGAAGTGTTCGATCTTGAGGCAGGTCCTCACCTCCAAGGCAGGAGCATGGCAAATGCGGCCACGAGAGAAGTCTCATCGTCAAAACTGCCGCGTCAGGGGGCCGGGCTGTCGCGGGTCGCGGGTACGCATCACAAAATCACCTGCGAGGCCTGGCGATTGAGGGGGGCGCTGGCTGGATGCTTCCAAGTTTGGCAGGCTGCATGGAAGAGCTGCGCTCGAAGACTACTCCCCTGCCCTCCAACCGCCAGAGCTGGTTAACTACGGGCCCGTGTCGTGACGACGTCGGCGTAGGTTCCTCACACCGTGACGATCGTTCAGCCTTGAACGACCGGACACGACACGAGCTGGCGAACTTCGACAAAGTAACCGAAACGGGCATCCAGCCTGTGACAGGCACGTGCTTCGAAGATCTGGCGACGGCTGGCACTGGATGGGTTAATCAGGCAAGGCCTCCTCTTGACCCTAGACTGTACACGGAGAAACATATTGGAGAAGGAAGGAAGGGGGGAAAGAGAGCGAGAGAGAGAGAGAAAACAAAAACAAACCAGCCGTAAAACTTGGCAGCAGTTCCTACTCGGGAGCACACAGTGGAAATTCTGTTACTCTGTCCGCTGGATCTCATTTGCCCTGGGGATCCGATCGACCCTCGCCCTGGGGTCTAAGGGCTTGCGGTGCGGTCTTTGCCCTTTGGTGTTCGGGCCATTCGGCTCTCACCCAGCCGTTCGGGACGATCCTGGCATCCCTGGAACACTCTCGGCAATGCGCAGCTGCTGGAACGCGTCCCCAGGCCAGTCGGCTCTCATTCAGCCGTTCGGGACGATACCGGCATCCCTGGGACACTCTCGGCAATGCGCAGCTGATGGAACGCGTCCCCAGGCTGGAAACCACGGAGAATAGACGAAAACGTCCGAGAACCTCGAATTGCGCCCAGACCGCATCCCCACCTAACCTGACCGAGCCCTCTTGACTGCCTACCAGACCCACCCAACCTAACCCGAAGACACAAATTTCGGGTTGGGTGGGGGGGGTACGGGTTCCACATGAGTTTGTTCAATGTTCCCTGACGCCCTCCCCTGGGAATGGAGAGCCAGTTGGAGCCTTCGAGTTGGGTTGGGCAGGGGTGGCTTTGTGGGTGGTGACCTCGACCCTTGGCGGGCACTCGGCGAGGGGCCGTCCCGCCAGACGACTGTAGTCGCCACCAGTGGCGTGCTCCGGCAGAGGCAGCCTGAGCTCTGAGGCCCTGCGGTGCGGCCGCGGCCCCCCTGCCCTCGGCAGGCACCCAGCGCGAGGAGCTGGCCCGCTGGAGGTCGAGGACCGCCCCCAGCGGCGTGCTCCCGCGGGCGCAGGCTTCTCGGCGCTCCCTCGGGCAAGCCTGCTCGCGGGTCGGCGTGCTGCTCTATGCGGGGGGTGCCGGAAGCGCTCCTGGCCCACTCACGAGCGGCGACCATATCATATCCGTAGCCGTGCCCTCGCAGTCTGGATTCCGGGGCGCGGTCCCGCAGATACGTGGTCGCACGGATACGTTCCGCGCGGGGCATCCACGAAACGACGCTCCGTATCCACGGGGCGGCCAGGGGGCCGGGCCCACAAGGCCACGGGCTCCGTTTTATGTTTTGCCGACGACCCAAAGCGCCCCCAGGACCTCCGAGGCGGCCCCCACGGCCCCCCTCATACTATGCCATACAACGTGGGGCTTCCCGACCTTCGCCAGCACCGACTTACAAGTTGCGGGCGAGCTCGAGTGCTCCTTCCGACACATAAAAGGTCATGTCTACCCTCCAGGGCATCAAAGCTACACGACGATCCCTTCCCCGCCGCCTCCTGGACCCGCGTCGCCGCGGCCAGACCCGCGTCCACCCCAGGACAGGCCCCGGGGGTTCGATCGTTCGGCCCCCGAGCAGCGTGCTCGATCGAGGCCTGCCAGGCAGGATGCGCGCGGTCAGAGCGGGCCTTGGCCGACAACAAAGAAGCGCGCAGACCACGACCCGCTCCCACCCCTCACGGCGGGGGGAGGCAGGGGGGAAAAGGGAGGAGCACACCTCGCGAAGCCTGGAGGGTCCCGGAGGCACTACATGGCGCGGAGAGCTGGGGCCAGCGTGGGCCCGGGGGCGCCCCTGGCAGCCCCCAATCTGCGCCTCGGTGGTCGGCCCTGACCTCGACGCGTGCACGTCCTGGACGTAGCTCTTGACGGGCGCGTGGCACTCTCTGCGTGGGTCCTTGATCTGCTTCGCGGTCCCGCTCGCCGTCCCGTCCAGGATCGACCAGAGGTGCCCCCGAAGCGGCCAAGGGGGCTTCACTAGCATCCACATGGCTGGGGGTGCTGACGGGCAATGGAAGGGGGAGGCCGGCTCACGTGGGGAAGCGTCGACCTAAAATCACCCATACACCGCCGGCGTATAGCCGTCAGGCCCCCGATCGCGAATCCGAACGCTCATGTGCGGGTTGGGCTCTCGGTCCCCGTGTCGGCGATCGATGTGCGACTGGGGGTCGATGCGTCCCACCCTGAGCTCATTCCCCCCGAGCGTTGCCCCTGACGGGTGCGAGGCCAAAACCACGCTGTGGAACGGCGATGGCAATAACGATCCGCTCGATCCCAAACGGCGACGCACTCTCTGCCGCAGGCTCAGACCGTCGGGGGAGGTGTGAGCGGCGGGGGGGAGGGGGGATACAGTACAGTAGGAGCGCGACCACAAGAAACCTTCCACAAGAAACCTTGTACAAGAATACCAACCCTGGGAGGTCCGATGAATTCTGGTGTGGGAACGTCGCGCTGTCCACAAGAAACGATCGAAACCCAAGAAACCCGGGGCACCCTGGAGGCGAGCAGGGTGTTTCTTGGCATGGGTTTCCATTTTATAAGGAGGGGAGAAAGACCATGGGGAGCTGGGGCGTCAGCATGCCGTCTGAGACGGCGTCGCTCCTTGCCCTCCAGGAGCTTCCCACGAAGCGCCGCTGATGCTGCGTGTGTCGGGGTCCACCCCCTCGACTTTCTTCCTGAAGCCACGCATATCGATCGAGGATGATGAGTCAGACACAACTGGCATTATCCTCCTGCGTGCCCCGAGGAAGAAGAGAACTATCATGAAGGGGCCCCAGGACACACAAATTAATACACACAAATATACATATTCCCCTATATTTTCCTATATTTTCTGGGTTTTTGTCTTCCCTCCCACTGTCCATATTTTCCCATACTTTCTGGGGAATCGACGATTAATTGTGTCTGTGTGTTTTTTCCCTCCTGATATCACGACAACGAGGAGGATCCACCCACCGACAATCGCGATCTTTTCAACGACACGGGCTCCAGAACTCTCGTCCCGCATCCCAGGGATTGCTATCTCGTCGCGGGCCGCTTTTTAAATGGCCCCGTGGCCGGGGATACCAGACAACCGATGTCCTGCCTTCTCAGGTACCGAACCCTTCCCCGAAGGCCAATTTTTCATCCCAGGAACATTTTTCGTCGACGGTCCGTAAGCGGCCGAAAACCTTAGGTCGTGTTTTTGTTACGGCGCGAGCACGTCTGGTTCCGGGGCCATAACAACTCGGCTCCCTGGCGGCCGTTCGGGACGATCCGGGCACCCCCGGAACGTGCCCAGCGAGGCACATGTGCTGGAATGCATCCCGAGGTAGGGAAACGTTAGAACTCCGGCAGGGACATTCGAAAACGACGCAGAAATCTCGCGGGCGATGCCGGTCGGTCCGGCAGAGGACAAACCCGCGAAGAAATGTACATTTTCTCGAGACGCCCGGAGGCCGAACTCCAACCGACCACGGCGGCGCGGAAGGTCTGGACACCCGACGTGGGTACGGGAAACATGGGCACGATGCCCAAACACAAATCGTGTCCAAGGCCGACAGCGGCCGTCGGTGGGCAGGCGGCCTTCTGCCTCAAGTGGGCAGCGTCCGCGGACGCACCGACCGCGAGGCCTGCTCGGGCGAAGCGGAAGTGCTGTCTCTATTCGTGCCCTCTTTCTCCATACTCGGGGGCGCGCAAACATAGATTAGCGATGCATGGATTTGGCGCGCGGTCGCCAAATCCTAGGATCGGGGGAGGTGCCCTCCCCAAGATGCGGCCGGTGCCGCCTCGCTCGGAGGCGGCACTCCGCGATTTCCATGGAAACGGGACCCGTCGCTAATCCACGCATCCTTAAATCCATGTTTCCGCGGTGGACAAACCTCCCTTTTAAACCTCCCCCTAGTGAGAACGGCATGGGACCGAAACCGACGGACCTGGACCTGCAAAAGTGACGGCCGCGACGCCCTCTCGCGAACCGAAAACGGCCTATTCCTTAATCGACGTGTCAGGGTAGGAGGTCGATCAACCTCCGAATGTTTGCGACGGCCTGACATACGTGCCCTATCCCCCCCCCCCTTTCGTCCAGTCCGAACCTCGCACACTTTCACGCGGCGCCTCGAGGCCAACCTCCGACCGACCGCGGAGGCGCGGCGGGGGGCGAGGGCGGCGCGGGGGCCCCGTGGCGCCCTGCCGCCCTCGCAAGGGCGCCGCGGCGGAGAGGAGGCCGGCGCGGCATGCTCAGCACAGATGAAAGGGGCCCTGGGACACACAAACAAGTGGCACGTGTGCCATGGCTCTTGCACATAAAGGGAGGGGGAGGAGGAGGTGGAGCAGGAGGGGGGAAGAAAGGGCAAGACATCGCCCCTCGGGGCTCAGCACATCCCAGGTGGGGAGGGGGGGAGGTGGTGTGCGTCGCGACGCGGAATAAAGTGCTCGGAGCGGAGGGGGCACGGGGCGGAGGTCCCACTGGGGCGCTGGGGGCGCGGAGAGGAGGGGGAGGTGGTGTGCGTCGCGACGCGGAATAAAATGGTCGGGGCGGAGGGGGCACGGGCGGGTCTGCCGCTGGGGCGCTGGGGACGGGGGGGGAGGTGGTGTGCGTCGCGACGCGGAATAAAACTGTCGGGGCGGAGGGGGCACTGGGCGGAGCCCCCACTGGGGCGCTGGGGGCGCGGGGAGGGAGGTGGGGGAGGTGGTGTGCGTCGCGACGCGGAATAAAACGTTCGTGGCGGAGGGGGCAGTAGGCGGTGCTGCCGCTGGGGCGCTGGGGACGCGGGGGGGGCTCGGGGCAGAGAGCCACGGCGCGGGGGTCCCACTCTGGCGCTGGGGGCGCGGGGGGGGCGCGACGCGGAACATGTGGCACGTGTGCCATGGCTCTTGCACAAAAAGGAAGGGGGAGGAGGAGGAGGAGGAGGAGGAGGAGGAGGAGGAGGAGGAGGAGGAGGAGGAGGAGGAGGAGGAGGAGGAGGAGGAGGAGGAGAGGAGGAGGAGGAGGAGGAGGAGGAGGAGGAGGAGGAGGAGGAGGAGGAGGAGGAGAAGGGGGGAAAGGGGGCAAGGCATCGCCCCTCGGGGCCCAGCAACGGGGCCCACATCCCAGGTGGGGAGAAATGGGGGGAGGTGGCGTGCGCCGCGACGCGGAATAAAGTGCTCGGAGCGGAGGGGGCACGGAGCGGAGGTCCCACTGGGGCGCTGGGGGCGCAGAGAGGAATAAAATGTTCGGGATGGAGGGGGCATTGGTCGGGGCTTGGGGCAGAGGGCCACGGGGCGGGGTCCAACTGGGGCGCTGGGGACGGGGGGGAGGTGGTGTGCGTCGGGACGCGGAATAAAATTGTCGGGGCGGAGGGGGCACGGGGCGGAGCCCCCACTGGGGCGCTGGGGACGCGGGGAGGGAGGTGGGGTGGGGGAGGTGGTGTGCGTCGCGACGCGGAATAAAGCGTTAGTGGCGGAGGGGGCAGTGGGCGGGGCTCCCGCTGGGGCGCTGGCGACGCGGGGAGGCGCGGGGCAGAGAGCCACGGCGCGGAGGTCCCACTCTGGCGCTGGGGACGCGGGGGGGGGGGGTGTGGCGACGCGGAATAAAGCGTTCGTGGCGGAGGGGGCAGTGGGCGGGGCCCCGCTGGGGCGCTGGGGACGCGGGGAGGCTCGGGGCAGAGAGCCACGGCGCGGGGGTCCCACTCTGGCGCTGGGGACGCGGGACGGGGGGATGTGCGACGAGGAATACGTTCGTGGACGAGGGGGCGGTGGGCGGGGCTCCCGCTGGGGCGCTGGGGCGGGGGAGCTCGGGGCAGAGAGCCACGGCGCGGGGGTCCCACTCTGGCGCTGGGGACGCGGGGAGGGGTGGGGTGCGACGCGGAATAAAGTGGTCGGAGCTCTAGACACCCAGTGCAAGAGAACAAAGCGCTCGTGGTGGAGGGGGCAGTGGGCGGGGTTGCCGCTGGGGCGCTGGGGACGCGGGGGGGCTCGGGGCAGAGAACCACGGCGCGGGGGCCCCACTCTGGCGCTGGGAACGCGGGGGGGGGGCGTGCGACGCGGAATAAAGCGTTCGTGGCGGAGGGGGCAATGGGCGGGGCTGCCGCTGGGGCGCTGGGGACGCGGGGAGGCTCGGGGCAGAGAGCCACGGCGCGGGGGTCCCACTCTGGCGCTGGGGACGCGGGAGGAGGGGGGTGTGCGTCGCGGAATAAAGCGTTCGTGGCGGAGGGGGCAGTGGGCGGGGCTGCCGCTGGGGCGCTGGGGACGCGGGGAGGCTCGGGGCAGAGAGCCACGGCGCGGGGGTCCCACTCTGGCGCTGGGGACGCGGGGGGGGGGGGAGGGGCGACGCGGAATAAAGTGGTCCGAACTCTAAACACCCTGTGCAAGAGAATAAATCGACACCAATAACAGGATTCCCCATATGTTTCCATATTTTCTGGGTTTTTGTCTTCCCCCCCACTTCCCATATTTTCCCATATTTTCTGGAGGGTCGACGATTAATTGTGTCTGTGTGTTTCTTTCCCTCCTGACGAACACAATCGAGACGGAGGTTGTGGACGCTGTGTTGGGCAGCCCCCCCAAACGTGGTGGTGACAACGCCCGGCGCTGAGTCTCGGGCGATCTGGTGACACCACCACCCGGCTTGGGGGCGCGTGTGGTGTTTAGGGGGTGTCCCGATCGCTGGTGGGCCCACGAGTCACGAAACTTGGCAGTGACCCCGTGTTCGAAGACCTGGCGGTGACTTTTTGGGGACTCCAGGCCACCACGTGATATCTCACCACCTGGCCTAGGGGCTCCCAATGTTTGTCCTCTCGGGGCCCTTGTCGGGGATCGGGACCGCCAGAGAACGGTCCGGGCTGAAGAGCTGCTTCTGGGAAGCGGCCGAGAGGTCGGGGTCCCGTGCCTCGAAACGACGAGACGCCGGATGTTTGGGGAGGGAAGCGGGTCCTCGAGGTCCGAAGGGGAGCGTGAGGGTGGGAACCTCGAAACCCGAGGTTCGACCTTTTCGAATGTTTTCCTCTGTTTCTGGCGGCTTTCCAGCCTCGGGATGCCTTCTGGCGGCTGAGCCTCGGCGAGAGCGTTCCGGAGCTGCCCGGATCCTCCCGACGGCCGCCGGGAGCTCGATCCGACCCGAAGGCCACTATGGGACCAGCCCAGGAGGGAAAGCATCGACCTGGAATCGGCGATAGACTCCCGATCGCGAAACCGCCGGTTCCTGGGCGGGGTGGACTGCCAAGCCCCCATCGGCGATGTATGGGCGATTGGGGGTCGGTGCGTCCCCCCTGG